AACTTCAGTGATTTTTTCAGCTTAGAAGAATTCATTGAAAATCCTGAAAATTGGAGGACCCGTAGAGTAGGTCCTGATCTTCCTACGAAAAAATATCTGAAGAATTACAAAAAAATAATTTGATTCTGAAATGCTCACCGCGCCGATTCGGTGCATCCTCCATTTTTGCCACTCTTCGACGTGTGGGCGAATGGAAAAAGTACCCTAATTTCAGTGCTTTTTCACGGTCAGACATATGCGTTAAAAATCGTGAAAACTGGAAGGCCTGTAGATTAAATCGTGATAATTCCAGGAAAAATGTTATAAAAAAAAAAAAAAAACATTTTGCTTGTCAAATACCCACCGTGCGAATTCATCACTGTTTCCATTTTCGCTGCAGCTATGCCATGTGCCGGCCAACAGAAAAGTCCTGCATCTTCTGTGATTTTTTTAGCTCAGAAGAATGCAAGAAAAACTATAAAAAATTTAGAGTATATAGATCTCGTTGTGATCTTTTTAGGAAAAATATTTAAAAAAAAAAACTAAAAATCGTTTTGGCTGTAAAATGCATCATGGCGGCTATTTGACACATTTTCCATTTCTGCCATTAGGCCGGTTTTCCATTGCAAGGTTAGGGTTTGGACACGAAGACAGATCCTGAAGTCCCAGCTGCCTGACGCGGGATACACTTAAAAAAAAAAAGGGTCCCCAAAATCACCCACGCTTTTCTATTTCCTTTTAGTAAGTGAGACCGCCGCGGGCAGGGGCAAACCAAAAAAAAAAAAAAAAAAAACAGAAACGAAACCAACGAAAACGACAAACTGGCAGCCAACACAAAACCGAAAACGAAAGGACAGTTTCTTGCTCGAAACAAAACTAAAACCCAAAAACTAACAAAAAGACATGGTTTCTTGCTATCCGTAGGGAGGCGCTTCGAGATAATCCTTCGCATAGCCGCCCGCCGCCGCCCAGCCCCATGGGCGCGTTCTCTCGTTTAGTGGCGCACTGTGAACAATTCGGTACGCGCGCCACTCTGCACGCCCGCCCTCCCTCTATCACCTTCATCCGCCGGCCCTCACCAAAGCTTCGACCCGCCGCCCGGCCCCATGGGCGTGGCGACCTCTGGTTTAGTCGCGCTCTGTGAACAAGTTGGTGTGCGCACCACTCTTCATCTGCTGGCCCTCACCAAAGCTTCCACCCGCCGCCCAGCCCCATGGGCGAGGTCTCTCGTTTAGTGGCGCTCTCGTTTAGTGGTGCTCTGTGAAAAATTTGCGCCACTTTGCACGCCCCCCCGCCCTCTATCACCTTTATCTGCCCGCCCTCACCAAAACTCTGACCCGATTCCGGCGCGCAGCCGACCGCCCTCCCCCCCCCTCCCGGCCAATGTGGTAGGAAAAAGGCCTGAAAGGCCATCCTGTCCACTAAACGAGGGTGAGAGCAAAAGAATATGCACGAAAGAAGGAAAAGGTTTTGGCGTGGGCGCTTTCCACCAATTATTTTTTCGCCTTCATTTCGTCACACCCTCTTCCCCGCTGTCCCTTCGGAGGTGGTGAGATGTTGGCGAGAGGAAGGAAGCGAGGGTGAGTATGCGTGCGTGATAAAGTAGGAGCTCTAGCAGGATACGAGAGACCTTGTTATGTGGATAGCAGGAGTGGATAACGAGAGTGTTCTACGAGTACGTAGGGTATGTGAAGTAAAGGTGGGAAATTCAGTTATCGGCTTTGCTAGGCGTAGCCAACGGACTGAAGGGACTGAAGAAGGAGACGAGGAGCAGCGCGGAAGCTGCCGTGTGTGCAGGTAAGCAGGCGACGATCTGCTCCCATATGAAGGAGAATTTTGAACTTCGTCCTCGCGCCGTTATCATTGTCCTCCTTCTCTGTCCCCTCCGCCCACTTTTTCGTCTCTCCTCTTCATCGGAGAAATTTTCATTCACCAGGCGAGCTTGGACGGTGGCGGTCCGAATTTCGTCCTCCTCCCCGCTTCTGTTCTTGCGTTTCGTATCTCGTCTTCTGTTGGCCATCTCCACTGTCTGGGACTCTCCCCCTCTGTCTCTCCCCTTCTTTCTCCTCAACCTCTGCCTGCCCTCTCCACGGCCTCATGGTGCCCTTACTCTCTCTCCTCTGCCGTCCTTCCTTCCTCATCCTGCGTTCATTTTGATATTCCAGTGGAGCGGAGAAGTGATTTACTTTTTTTCCTTCTTTATTGATTGAGTTCATGTTCGCTAGAACGTTATAATAGCTTGAGCTTTTGCTTGAATAGACTTTGCGGGGAATGGGTATGCGTTGAGCAGTAGGCCGTAAGCCCTGAAAACCTGCGTCCAGAGCATTGAATGGCGATCACCCGAGGGATTGTGGACAGCGCCCTAGGTAATCTGGAAAGCGCTCCCAGTTGTTGCCCCGACATGTACATGGACTCAGCGGCTGGTATTTCCCGCCCAAGAAACATGCTGTCAGGGCATTCACGGTACGGACACTGGCTGGAACATTAAAAGAGAAAGATGCCTATGGCACAAGCGATTATCCGTAGGTGTTGCTCCTCCAACTTCGGTGCACATGCTGTCATGTACCTCGTACACACACACAAGCAGCCAGATCGGCACAATTCAGCACGAGCGCACCCTCTCCCGTACTCGCACAGTCACACATGCACACATATACAGACACGCGCACGCAGACAGACACACACCCACACATGCACACTCTCACACACGCGTAAACACGCACTCACGCCCAAGTGCGGGGGCAAGCAAACGGACGCACGAACACACACACACACACACACACACACACAGAGAGAGAGAGAGAGAGAGAGAGAGAGAGAGAGAGAGAGAGAGAGAGAGCTGGTTATCATCGCCAGTTTGTTTCCACCGGTGTACCTATTCTTTGGGGGTTCAATTGCCATGGGCAAATTGCAGATATACCGGTTCGGAGAAGTATCGTAACAAAAATACCGGTCTCCCCGCGTATTGTGACAAATACACAGACAAAGTTGCAGAAATACCGTTTTTCAAAAGTTTCTAAGCAGATTTACCGGGCGGATATACCTTTCACGGCTAATACACCGGCAGTACCTCCTTTTGCAACAGAGGACCCGCCTCCGTTGGAGTCTTTGTCTCAGGCCAGGCGAACGGGGCCTCTGTCACGAAAGGAGGTATCGCCCGGTAAATCTGCTTCACGAAAGGAGGTATCGCCCGGGAAATATGCTTCACGAAAGGAGGTATCGCCCGGTAAATCTGCTTAGAAACTCTGTGAAAACGGTATTTCTGCAACTTTACAGGCATATTTGTGGCCATCCAGGGGCGGACAAGTATGCTTGCTACGATACTTCTCCAAACACTGGCAAACACGTATTTCTGCAATTTGCCCAATTGCCATTCAGGAGTATTGCTGTGGTTTGATCTCAGTTGAAGAGTTGCTAGTATGAAAAAAACGGTATTTCTGCAATTTGCCCAATCGCCATTCAGGAGTGTTGCTGTGGTTTGATCTCAGTTGCAGTATTGCTATGAAAAAAGTCGACTTTAGTTTGAGAATGCAGTGTACTGCCGTTCTAAATTATCTGTGCTGTTTCTGATTGCAGTTCTCTGTCAGGGGCGGTTTAGGGGTGCAGACGCGGCTGAGGGAATCCCCAGAGCTTTCTGGGCCAAGGTCAAACGAAGGGAAGTGGAAGACGGGCCTGCTTCTTCTAAGCCGATGACAACGAGCGACAGCGACATCAGGTTTGGATATGGAAGAGATGAAGTAGTGCTCGGAGGTGAAAGAAGTGCACGACTAAGAAGATTAGTGGCACAAGAGTAAAGCTGCACAACTCGTTCACAGCAAAGAGAATAGACCTGCTGATGGATCAGTGGGAGCATGCCAACATTGCCAAGGGGAGGGAAGAATTGTCGGAGGTTACGCAACGTGGCAAGTTCGTTGGGGTATTATATTTACCCGAACCAAGGACATGCTCGGAGACCCGTTAGAGAGTGGATGGCTTCACTAGAAGGAGAGGAAGGAGGGAGAGGAAGAAAGACGGAATGGGGATTATGTGTCCGATGCAAAGTCATGCGGAGCAATGGGTAAAAGGGTGGACCTAGAACAGCTCGCGTAGCCATGGATGCTGAGGTTGATCATAGTTTTGCACATACTGGACACGCTTAGTCTACTACTCTACGGCGTAAACGAGCGACGGTAAAAGAGGTCGCGGGACGACAGATTGTGGCAGCCGAGAGCCGGCGTATTGACGCGCAGTTCGTATTGGGATTAGTCATGATACCTTCTGATGCGCGCTTGTGGTGGATTACTTCTCTGTTCTAGATTGGTGCGGTCTTCGGGAAACCAGTTACATATTCTACTGTTCTCCCACTGTTCTTACTGAGAGAAAGTGGTTGATCTCACTTCCTCCTTTCTTTCTACCCTCACAGATCGTTTTCGCGCTCTTCGATGTCGGTAGCTCCGCTAAGTTGCCGCGTTTATTTCATAGGCCTCTCTTGTGTCTATCGTCTTCTCCCGAACACAAAGCACTCTCCGGCAGCTTACGCCAATGATGCGGGTACGGTGTGTTCGGGGGAAATCGGAACGAGGACTTTCACTGAACAGCACAGGGTGAACACAGAAGCGCTGATCCCCCAATTATCACATCAGCCTACATCAAGACCAGCGTGCTGTTCTACAGACTGACATCCCTTTCCCGCAGCATATGCACGTACGAGCTCACTGCGGGCCAGGTTTGAGCGCGGACATGCTTACTCTCTGTTAACCACGATGGTGCACATTCTGAGGGGATAATTGGTAGACGCGTGGGCTCCTTCTACCAATTATCCCCATTCTGAGTGGCTTTGCTTGATTCCTGGGAGCTGAGCTCGGTAGGCAGTTGGTGCGGACTCGTTGAAACTCTCGCCGGGCGAATCGAGGAAGGGAAGACACGCAGGAGGCGGGACCAGAGCCCGGGATGACATGTACCCTTACCGTTGAGGTTGTCCAAAGAGGTCTCTAGTTCCGGGCTCTGGTTGATGAAGCGAATTTCGTGCGTGAGCCTTACGTGGATGCGTGGGCAGAGAATTTGGCAGGAAGGGGCAGGTAGGTGATCCATCTTTCTTGACTGGCCACAGAAGCGGATGATCTCGTTCACATGGCGTCGAAGCCAGTCATAGGGATCGACCTGGGCACCTTCTTCTGCTGTGTGGCACTGTACCAAAATGGGACGGTGGAGACCGTTCCAAACGCTCAGGGCCTTCATACCACGCCGTCCTACGTAGCTTTCAATGAAAAACAACACTTCGTCGGTCAAGCGGCCGTGAGGATAGGGATGCGTTTCCCCAAGCAATGCGTCTACGAGGTAAAGCGGCTGATAGGGAGGTCTTTTCTTCATCCCATGGTCCAGATGTACAAGGCAATGTGGCCGTTCGAAGTGGTGGCGGGGGAACGAGACATGGCCGTTGTACGGTTCGATAAGGTCCCTAGGGAATTCGGAAAGAATTCGTTCGGACCCGCCGAAATCTCCTCCTTTCTGCTTAAGAACATGAAAAGCATTGCCGAGAAGCTCGCTGATGGCGATATCGAGGATGCTGTGATAACTGTTCCCGCACACTTCAGTGACAGTCAGCGGGAGGCCACGAGAGAGGCAGGGCGTCTAGCGGGTTTGAACGTGCTGCAGCTGATGAACGAACCGACGGCGGCTGCCGTGGCGTACGTTTATGAAAAGAAAATAAATACGGAGTCTGTTGGAAAGAATATCATGGTGTTCTATCTGGGAGGAGGCACGCTTGACGTCTCAATCATTACCCTCGATAGCGGCAGCCTACTTGTGCGCGAGGTGAAAGGCGACTCTGATCTGGGAGGTGCCGACTTCGGCAGCAACCTCATCAGGTATGTCGCAGAGAAGCACAGGCTTAAGACGGGTTGCAATGTTCTCGGCGAGGAGAACGAGAAAATATTTCCGCGATTGAGGGAGGCCATCGTTACGGCAAAGCACACTTTGTCCACCCAAGACGAGGCGGACATTGAGTTGTACTCCAACGATGTAGATCTCAACCAGTCCATACTCCGATCAGAGTTCGAACGGGTCAATGAGGAGCTCTTCCAAAAATGCATGGCTACGGTTGAGAGAGCACTTCGAGGAGCCAAGATGACTAGTCAGGACATCTCCGAAGTGATTTTAGCCGGAGGATCAACGCGGATAAAAAGAGTCCACGAGCTACTCCAGCAATTCTTTGGCAGGGCTCCGTTATCAGTTGTTCATCCGGATGAAGTGGTGGCACATGGTGCGGCCGTGCAGGCAGCTTTTCTATCTAAACTTGTTATTGGAAAGCATAAGCCTAAGGTGCCCGTGTGCAACGTCAATCCGAAAAGCATCGGAGTGATGAGAAGTCCCGGGGAAATGAGTGTTTTGATCCCCAAGAACAGTCCTCTTCCGGCAAAAGGGGAGCTCGAGGTTGAGTGCCTCTACGATTACCAGGAGGCGATAGAGTTCCAGTTGTATCAAGGAGAGAGAGCTTTATGCCGTGATAACCAGTTCCTGGGGGCCTTCATGTTGACGGGTTTCAAACCGGTTCCTGCCGACGGGAAACCAGCGGCGAAGCTCGTTGTGACGGTCGACAAGGACGGGATTATTCATGCAACGGCGGAGACCATAGCGAATAGCTATGAGCCCCGAAAGAGAGAAGAGAAGGATATCATCGGGCGGTTCAGCAAGGATGGGGCGGATGCTACAGTCGACGATGTGGGGGATTGGAGAGCTGCGGAGAGAGCAGACGAGGAGCGGAGGGCAGAGTTCAAGGCGCGGCGGGAGCTCCTGTATCTCGCATGGGAACTTCGGGATAAAAGATTTGAGAAGATGTCCAAGCCGGAGATATCGCGTGTAATCGAGGAGCTGGAGTGGTTACAGTCTGAGGAGAGTTACGCGTCGAAACGGACCTACGAGGACAAGACCAAGAAACTCCGTGCAATTCAAGCCCGCTTCGGCGGTCGGTTATGATCTGTTGTTTGAGCCGGAGTTCTTCAGAACAGCAAAGGGAGCCTCTCCACGTTTCTCTATGGTCGCTCGTGCCTCCTATGCTTCCATCCTGTCCTGAATTGCGGAGGGAGCCTCGCTGTACGAAGGACGAAGGGATGGACGCACAGTAGGAGCTTTCCAAGTAGCGTTGAAGTCGTTAGTATGGCCGTTCCCGGAGCAGTCATCACCATATGAACACGACCGTGTCAATGTTGAACATTCATGCGGGGCTGGGGTCATTATCCCATGAATGATCCCTGCGGGCTTGACGGGGGCTCGGCTAAAGATTCGACTATTTTTCAGAGACCATTGTTGGTGCGGGATGATATCCAGATACTAAGTTTCGCCTCCCTTCCCCATTACCCTCATCTTAATCCAATCCGATCTTTCTCTCTCCCCGACACCATTCTCCCGTTGTTCTTCTCTGCACGTAATCCGACCTCTACATTATGCCCGACAATGAGCGCTGTATGCCAAAGTCATTAACTGACCTCGATTATAACTCTCTCTCTCTCTCTCTCTCTCTCTCTCTCTCTCTCTCTCTCTCTCTCTCTCTCTCTCTCTCTCT